CGGCTAATTGCTTTTTTTTTTGAGAAAACTGCACTTTGGAAAGCAGCACCATTTTGAAGGGAATGATAAGAAAATGTTATGCATACTCCTATATTTTGCCTAAAGAAAATGGGCAGAGCTTAATGAATTTAGCCTTTAGATTGGAACAGGAAATGTCTGAAGAATACAAATTGTCTCATAGTTGAGAAAAGGGTAGTTAGCAATTATTGCTAAAACCTTTGCTCCTCTGCTCCCATATTTTAATGCTAAGACATCTGGAAAATTTAACCTTTTCCCCTCAGACAATATTTTGGCTTGATATTTTGAATACCTGAAGCTTTGTGAAAAGATCATCATCCATTTATCTCCTGAAAGAATTTTCAAAGAACCAACGTCTGAAATTTTCTACCTACTCTGAATCACCACTCTCCCCTCCCCTACTGCAATTCTTAAGTAGCTCGATTTCATCACTCACAGCATACACTCCTTTACCAAGCTTAACCTGGCTTGGTTTTCTAAGGAGATTTGCTTTCTTCTGGCATAAATATCAAAGCAAAATGTTGACTCTGTGCGCTGATGGTTATTTTTAACTTTCTTAAGTAAAAATGAAATAGTCAAGATCTATGCCAACAGAGCCGTTACCACAAACGAATAGTCCTAAGCTGGTTTAGTAATATATGTTTATAATGCATTTCGTTCCCATTTGCTGGGTCCACAATGGGGATCGGAGCATTTTTATTTTCTTACAGGTATAGAATAAAATGGCAAGGGGTTATTTCAGGGCAGATTTTTGGGAGAATAATTTGAATTAGCATAAAGTTAACATTTCCTAAATGGTTACTTCAGAAACTAGACCATTAACCTTTAGAAAAGACAAAAAAGAAATATATTGGGGCTTTGCTTTCCCATTATTGGCTTCCTAAGAACTTGGAATAAGAATTATAGCTCTTGAACGGACTAAAAGCAGTACTGTTCATCAATAGAAATGAACCAACCTCCTTAATAAAATATCCCCACCTATAAGGTAATCCTCTCAATGGAATACATTTAAAAGTGTTATCTAGAATTATGAAGTAAAACAGTATACAATTTAAAGATATGCATTTTGAAAAGTGAACATTTGTTTTAGAAGAAATCGTGCCATCTGATTAGAGGGATAAATTGCACATATTTAGGCCATTTATTTTTTGGAATAAAGCTGACTTGAAATTAAATTATCTGTTTATAAATGAATCAGGTAAAAAGCCATAGACCATCTAACCCCCTCTGAATGTGTACTAAGTAAACTGCTTTATTGAATCCCTACATTGGTGAGAATTCTACTACTGCATTTTGTGTGAACAGCACTAGGTCAGATACCAGGTAGAAATGGTCGGATTTGTTCCCAGGGCTGGAAATGTGGCAGTCACCCCGGGCAATCTGATACATTGAGTGTGGGAATTGGTACTTGTGCACCCGCCTCTGTAGTCTGTTCCATTGAAAATAGCTGTGGGCTTCAGTGTTGGGAGATTCCCTTCCAGTTCTCGCTGAGGTCGAGCTCATCGAACAGAGCCAGAAGCCTGGAGCAGTCTCTCTCACAACTGCACATTCAAGATTTAAACATCAAGACTTAAACATGCTGCAGGAAGTGTCTGTGCTTCCTGAAGAAGAAACCACCTATACCCGGTGTCCAGAGGAAGGGCTGATCCTCAGCCTCTATTGAATTAAATTAAGGCATATTTTCTGCATTAATAATGTCATTCTCCTCCCTCCCTCCTTCCTTCCCTCCCTCCCTCTTCCCTCCCTCCCTCCCTCCCTCCCTTCCTTCCTTCCTTCCTTCCTTCCTTCCTTCCTTCCTCCTTTCCTCCCTCCCTCCCTCCCTCCCTCCCTCCCTCCCTCCCTCCCTCCCTTCCTTCCTTCCTTCCTTCCTTCCTTCCTTCCTTCCTTCCTTCCTTCCTTCCTTCCTTCCTCCTTTCCTCCCTTCCTCCCTTCCTCCCTTCCTCCCTTCCTCCCTTTCTCCCTTCCTTCCTTCCTTCCTTCCTTCCTTCCTTCCTTCCTTCCTTCCTCCTTTCCTCCCTCCCTCCCTCCCTCCCTCCCTCCCTCCCTCCCTCCCTCCCTCCCTCCCTCCCTTCCTTCCTTCCTTCCTTCCTTCCTTCCTTCCTTCCTTCCTCCCTTCCTCCCTTCCTCCCTTCCTCCCTTCCTCCCTTCCTTCCTTCCTTCCTTCCTTCCTTCCTTCCTTCCTTCCTTCCTTCCTTCCTTCCCCACATCTACCTCCTCCACCCCCATGAATGTGCATTTGCTGGAAGATCTTTGCAGTATATTCCATTTTAGATTCGACATGAAACCTCCCTGGATTTTTTATGCTGGGTACTGAGTCCAGTGGCATGTCCTTATAAGAGACAAAAACAATAGAGATACAGAAACTGGAAGAAGGCTGTTTGAAGAGGGAGACTGAGACCTGAGCACTCTTCCTCGGGCCAGGGCGTGCCCACCATAGCCAGAAACTGCTGGCTCCAGGAGAATCTTCCTGCTTGGCTTCCATGGAAGGGGCACAGCCTGGCACACCTTCATTCTGTACTCCTGGTTTCCAGTGTGATAAGAAAATAAAGCCTTTCAATTGAAGCCAGCATGCGTGCGCGTATATAGCGATTTGTCACAGCCACCCCAGGAAATAAACTCGGTGGGAAGTCCCTTCATTGAGTATGCAGGATGCATAACTTTTTGTTCTCAGTTTTCTTGCTCTGGGTGAAACTGATTGCAGGCAACAACTAACATTCAATTTCACAGACTAGTAGCTGTATCTGCTCAAAAATTTGATTAAACCACCATGTGTGGCTATCACTGGACTCAATTTAAAAACTTGAACTTGGGATATTTGGCCCACAACACAGCTTCTGAATTGTCCTTGGTTCAGTAAGTTAACAATAACAGGAATTGAGAGATGCCAATCACTAAGAAATTTATCTACTTAGGGTGTTTTAATACCTCTAGAGAAACGACCTCTTTATGAGTAGTTTTTTTTTCCCCATTTTCCTTTGAGAGAGTCAGCCATTTGTAAATATGTGTCTAATCTGATCTTGATCATTCACTCCTTGAAATAAATTGTCCTGTTAAGAACAGATGACATCTTCAGTATGAAATTGGTCATTAATGTTGCTTGAAAGTGTACGTTGGAAGCCAGTAAAATGGTTGCTGTGGATTGTGTTTTGAACTCGTCATTATTCATATTAAAAGCATCAATAGCTGTATTTTACACATTGAATGTTCACATTTAAAGTAAAAATCGATTCCTCTTTCCTACATTCACACGGGTTGTAGCTGAATTTACTTAGAAGCACCATTTGCTGAGGTTGTGGTGGAGTCAGACGCTCTCTCCAACAATCCTAATCAATTTTCTTGGACATAAAATAAAAGTTAGGGATCAAATGGCGGCAGAGAGCCCATCTGTAGAACATAATACTGGGTTGGTTCTCTTTTGCTACCTTACACCTAAAAGCTACTCTTTGTCACAGGTTCTCAAATAATAAATTTCCAAATCTTGTGCCAGACCCATATTAATTGTGGAAAGTATCTACATGTGATTCTATGGAAGAATTCTAATTCCCATGTGGAGATGCATAGTTTGCTCTAATGTCCTCAGGCTTGCATTTACTTATCAGAAACTGGGAAATGAATGTTGATTTCTTTCTTTTATATTCATATTCTCTGTGCAAGATAAGCATTAAAGTGAAAGAAACTGTTTTCTGCAATAGGGTACAAAGATGCATTATGTATTTCAATAAAGTTTTGTTAAATCATTGAGAAAAAATTATTGGAGCTATCTCCTTGGTGCTGTGCACCATAATACTTCAAAGTAATTTAATATCAATTTGGAACTGAGCTCTAATTTTTGGCTTAAAAACATGAGCTAGTCAATAAAGTTAAGAAACAACTTTAGGACATAACTTAATAGTTTTAAATTTTAAGAAGATCATATAAATGTAAGCACTCATTTAGCTCATCTGATAGACATGTTTTTCTCCTTCAGTTCTACTTTTATTCATATTTCACGTTTTCTATAATTATTTGTACTGAATAAAAAGATACTTTTTATTTTCAAGTAATATTTGTTAATGACTTAACAAGGTGGGGAATTAAAATAATAGAATGTTAAAAGGGTACAGTAACATGATCTCTTTTAATAGCATATTAATGAAACATTCATGTCAGTCTTTCAATCTTTAAGAATTTGAAATTAATATGCTGATTCATTTGTTTCTTGAAAGATTGATTTTTTAAAAAAGCATGCTATATTTTTGATTTAAGAATATTCTTAGGGAAAATATCCCTTTCAGTAATTTCAATCTTAGCTGAAGTCAGAAATTTTTGAATTGTATAATAGTTCATTAAAGACCAATGTTATAACATAACCTCAGTAGTAATTCTTATCAAGATTATTCTTTATTTTTATAAAACATGGATATCAAAAACTGTCAAAGTTAATCTTACCCCAAATTTTAATGTTTATTCCATACTCTGAATTGGAAATAGTATCACAGTGTCTTTTTGGAAAGGAATAATCCCTTGAATAAAGGAAATTTTTGTAGATAAATAGTGGCGATGATCATAGAATAAAATACAATTGTCACTGAATCCCATACTTAACCATGGTTAAGAGAGTGAAATAGGTATATGTTACCACAGTAAAAATAAGAGAGCATTTCTGCCTCATTTTATTCACCAGTAAAGAAATAAGTCATCTTTGACATTAGCTGCAATCCTATCTTTATGGGTCATCATTTTATTGTCCTCTCAAGTGTTCTCCTGAGCTAGCAACACAGAATGGGTAAGAGTGGAGTTTGTTTGAATTACTATACTGCTTTCTTACTATTTTAAAAAATATGCATTTGCTGATAATTTGCATTTGATTCATGGATTGTGTGATGAGAAAATATGTATATTCATAAATTCTTGATGTTCACATTTACAGTCAACTGAAATTAGAGTGCAGTTCCAACAGAGGAACTGAGATCAAGGAACACTCATGTTTAAAATTGTTTCCAGGGTTGGAAGGAGAGAAGGTAAGAATTCCAGCATTCCCCTTGCTGAGAACAGAAGAGGCTCTCGAGTCTGAAACTCATCAGATTAAAGCATTTCTGCCAACTTTGTGATATCTAGCCATTGTTTGCCATAATTCTTTCCACAGCAAACAGAACATGCCCTTCAGCATGATGTGACGTGATTCTGTGATTGAATGCGCTGTCCTTGCAACTCTAAAACAAATTTGTCAGTAAAAAGGGGTTAATAAGCCTTATACTTTAATAAAAAGTGAATCATCTAGGGAAACACTAATAGCAAAAGAAATCACTCTGATTCAAGAATCCCTTCTCCCTTTAGCTGTGATGGACGGATGGGTGGACGGGGTGTCCTTAACCTCATGCCAACTCATCCTTTGTATTAAGGAAGCACATTTACTCTTGCTCTGGGGATCTCTGTTCAATAAGCACATTTCTGCTCTGCACAGCACTAATGTACTAGCCAGAGGATGTAACTGATTTCATTCCAGAGTAACAGGATATCCAGAATAACTGCAGATTCAGATATCTGCACAGAAACCTTGATAGCTTCAGACTTCTAATAGGTATAAGCAAAAACTAGGCCTCGCTGTGCGTTTCCTCTAAGTCCCTTTATTCTTCTTCCTTATCACTCATGGCAGAGCGATAGCATAATGGGTAGGGAATTAGTCTTGCATGCGGCCGACCCGGGTTCGATTCCTCCGTCCCTCTCAGAGAGTCCAGCAAACTACCAAGAGTATCCCTCCTGCATGGCAGAGTCTGGCAAGCTCCCCGTGGCGCATTTGGTATGCCAAAACCAGTAACAAGTCTCCCATGGAGATGTTACTGGTGCCTGCTTGAGCAAATCGATGAATAACAGGAGGACAATGCTATCACTCAAGGATTCTTTTCGTTTGTTTGGTTTCAGTTGCTTGACCACACCTAGCTGTGCTCAGGATTTACTCCTGACAGGCTTGGGGATCATATGGGGTATTGGGGATTGATTCTGGGTCACCTCTATGTTAGGTACTGACTCTGGCTTCTTTAGCCTATTCCTGATCCATGGCTCTAGAACTGCAAGAAATTGTTATAATTCCTATATAATTATTATTCAGAAAGATACTATCAGCTTTATTAACAATAATTGATCCCCCATTATGGAGTAGATGCACTAATGTAAGGTCCTATGGAAACAATTGACTTAAGCACATTTTTGCTACTTTGCTTTCTAAAATGAACCAACATTTTTAAGCCCTTGTATTGCAACAAACTGATACATTTCACTAAAATATTAATATTCAGAATAAGAACTATGAGCAGTTTCTTTCTTCTTAGAGGCATTGGAATCATCTGAGTTTGAGAAGCGGTCTGGTTGGTGGGGCACGAATTATTGCTCTCTGCATTTTGACTCCTTATGAGAATTAAATCCCATGCTACTGGCTCATAAAATACAATTTTAAGTACTGCATATATCAGGTTCTTACAATAATTTCTAGAATACAAACAATACTAGAATTGTTTATAATTTAATCACTGCCTGTTTTTAATATTTATTCAAAAGTAAGCTACCGTGTAGAAGAAAAATCATACAATTTAGAAGAAATTTTTTGTTTACATTTTATTATTATTATTAATATTATTAGTTTTTGGTTTTGTGGCTAAACCTGATCAGAGTCAGGGCTTCTTCCTGGATTTATGCTTAGGATTTTCTCCTGGCGGTGCTCATAGGACGATATGCAGTGCCAGGAATGAAGCCAAGGTCAGATGTGTGCAAGGGAAGTGGGTGACCCTGGTGTCATACCTCTCCGACACTACTCATGTCTTTCAACTTACATGCACTCCATCAATGCCTGTTCACTTAATAGAGCTAGCAAAACTCCAGAATACTCCCAATGTGTTGTGCCAGTTGGCCGTTGCTGATTTGAAATTTTCCAAATTTTAAATGATTTTTCCAAATTTAGTCACAATTCAAAATTCCTAAAATAAACCAATGTTTTGAGGGTTGCCTGTGTTCGTGGACCTTCTTAATGATCTCCGTTCCCACTGGCTTTGGAAACTGGAGTGGAATGGAGGCTTGAGTTACAAGACAGAACAGGGGTCAGCACTAACAAAAAGATAAAATCCTGCAGTTTGCTGTAGCTTGGGGGAGAAGTGGAGGGCATCAAGCTGAGTTAGGGGAGAAGGACAAACGTAGAATGTTCTTTATCATATGTTGCATATGAAACAGAGTAAGGGACTAGAAAAGAACCACTGCTAATAAACAGAGCCAAAAGGCCAATAGACCTGAGTTTACCCAGTGAGGGGTGGCCATGGGAGGGTCCTAAAGACAGTGGGACACTGAGGTTCTGGTTGTGAGTGTGGGTAGAATATTTTATTCCTGAAACATTCATGTTAGCACACTAAAAATCACAGTGCCTAAATAAAAATAACAAAGAGACGACTATTCAGAATAGGCTGGATATTACTAATACCATAGTATTACTAATGCCATAATACTAATAGTTAGCTTCAGCGTCACAATGACAAAACAATTAGTTGAAACTCTGTCCTATTGAGGGAACCCAGGAAAGAAAACATTAAGATAACATTGAACCGAGGATAAAATTTCAGTGATGTGTCACGACAAGGGCAGACCCAGACTGCCAAACTAGTCACGCTCCAAAGCTAATTTTCTTTCCATGACACCTCGCAACGACTTCTACTTTCTTTAGACATAGACTTAGGGGCTCCTGCCTGTGCCTTTGGAGATGTCATGTAATTAAAGTTCAGAGATCGTTTGTACTTTTCAGCCTTTAGAAAGTGCCAGTGTTCATCATTTCAAAACCTTCTGCAGCTGGTCCTATTCCTGCAAATGTGTGTTTCTGCAGAGATGTTGGCGCTGCTCCAAGACTATGCATAGATAAAACCGAAGGCCTGTGTACTGTCTTAGCTTCCCAGTCCACTCGAGGGCCCGAGGGGACATCCAATTTGTGCTATATTTATGTTTAGTTAAAATGACCTGGTTGAAAGTACCCTGCAGCTCCTAGCAGGATGCACTTTGGGAGGAGGATTAATAAGTCAAAAATAAATAAAAATCCCCACAAACCAAAAAATCTTTTCTTATTTTTGGCTTTGTTTCAAATCGAACTATCAGCAGACAAATATAAAACAGTGGTTTTTTTTTTTTGTGTGTGTGTGTATATAAGTAAAGGAGAAATACTTGTAATTAAAGGCTGGAGTTTGCTGCAATCTATGAATTTCTTGGCTTCTGAGAATCTGAAGTAATTTCTTAATAGAAAAGGAACCAGAGTTAATAAGCTATCTGGTGACTTCTGGGAAACCCAGTGTTAGTAATAGCAGATCAATGGAAGTTCAAAATAAAGCCAAGACAAGTGTCTTTGAGCTTGAGAGAATGTGTCCATAGTTCCCAGGAGTTTGAATGCAAATACTAGATTGTCTGGATATTATTTCTAGCTCTGTCCCTACTATCTGCAAGCCCCTGATCTGGTCATTTCATTATTCTTATCAGTAAGCACACAAGGATTTTCCTGTAAGACCCGCTTGCGTTGTTCACGTAACAGTGACTAATTAATAAGGAAAGAGGCAAGTGCTTTGCTTGTTTTGGGGGGCTGGGTGTGGCCAGCACTGCTCAGGGTCTATTCCTGGCTCTGTGTTTGGGAGTGAACCTTGGCAGTGCTCTGGGGAACCAGCTGTGGTTCCAAGCATGGCAGCCAGAGCCCACTGCAAGGGACGGGCCTCGTCTCATGTACTGTCTCTGCAGCCCAGTGCAGGGGGGTTGACCCCATTCTTAAAAACAAACAACTAAGTCTCAACAGTCTGAAATCAAAAGACAAAAATTAAGAAGTCCCACCTACTTAACTCCAAACCTCCTTGAGTGAATTCTCTGATTAATATTACATTTAAGGTTGATATGAGGGTAGGCATGACATTTTATAAACATTTACCTTATCTCTCTCTATATATATCTATAAAAATATAACACATATGTAAATAATATCTTATATATAATATACATATATATATGTACACAAGGTTCAACCCTTAACAACATATTAGCAATCTCTTATAGAAGGGCTTGGGCTGGGGCGATAGCACAGCAGTAGGGCGTTTGCCTTGCGGGCAGTCAGCCAGGCCGAGCCAGGTTCGATTCTTCCACCCCTCTCAGAGAGCCCAGCAAGCTACCGAGAATATCTCGCCCGCACGGCAAAGCCTGGCAAGCACCTTGTGATGTATTCAATATGCCAAACACAGTAACAACAAGTCTCAAAATGGAGACATTACTGGGCCCGCTTGAGCAAATCGATGAACAACGGGAGGACAGTGTTTGTTTGGACAGTGTTTTATAGAAGGGCTTAATGCCCCCTGGGTGAAATACAACAATCTCCCACACACGTCACACACTCTCCTCTAAGGAAAGTTTTTGGAGCATTTTTAGCTTATTATTCATAACAAACAATAAAAAATAAATTATATTGGTTCTGCTTTGGGGCAAGTGTTGGGGTTCAGGATAGCACTGTAGAACTGCACTGTCCTCCCATTGTTCATCGATTTGCTTGAGCAGGCACCAGTAACATCTCCATTGTGAGACTTGTTGTTACTATTTATGGCATATCGAACACATCATGAGTAGCTTGCCAGGCTCTGCTGTGCGGGTAGAATACTCTGGGTAGCTTGTCTGACTTTCCGAGAGGGATGAAAGAATTGAACCCGGGTCGGCCACATGCAAGGCAAACACCCTACCCACTGTGCTATTGCTCTAGCCCATTCAGGATAGAAACATCCAAAATATGGTGGTGGGAAGGTGTAATGGTGGTGGAATTGGTGTTTAAATATTAAAGGTAATCAAATATTGTGAACTACTTCACCCGAGTTCAATTCCTCTGCCCCTCTCGGAGAGCCTGGCAAGCTACCCGTGACGTATTCGATATGCCAGACACAGTAACAACAAAGTCTCCAATGGAGACGTTACTGGGCCCACTCAAGCAAATTGACGAACAACGGGAGGGCCTTTACCTTACCTTACTTCATAAAAAATAAAATAAAATTTAAAAATAAATAAAAAATATATATATATATTTTAAAAAGTTTCCAATGGCATTGGTGACCAGCTGGCTGGTGAACTGATTTGCGAAA